AGCTGAAATTCTCTGAGTAGATTGTTCATAACCAGTAAAATACAAACGGAATAAAATGCAATTAATAAACAGCATAAAATAAACACACACACACACACACACACACACACACACACACACATACACACACACACACACACACATATATATATATATACATATACATATACATAAACAAATGGAAGCAATCTGAAACCACAACGTTTCTTTAATATTATTCATTTTATTTGAATAAAGCTAAAAAATATATTGAAATTATTTTCTATAAACAAAACACATTGAACAGTAAATCTTGAGACCCCAATATAATAATAATGGGATTGGGTATACCCCTTAATTCAGCCTTCCCTAATGAAATACTCTCCAAATATGACAATCTGCAATGCTCATCACCCCCTGTATGTATGACCGTCTCTTACAACAGCTGGGTAACCCAGGCCTTTTTTCACTCCAGATTTCCAGCCTTGGTCTTTCACACTACTATAATTATATGTTCAAGGCCACCCACTGAGTTCATGGCTGAGCTGAGACCTGAACTCAGGTTAAAGTCCAGCATTCTGTCAACTGGACCACACTGGCTGACAATTGGCAGGACACCCAATGAAGGAAAGCAACACAGTATTATTTGTGCTCTGCTCAGTGTTGCTCTGCTTTGACTGGCTACAACACAACTGAAAGGCTGAACAGAGAAGCAACCAACCAATAGAAGAAACATACACTGCCTGAAATGTGCTACCCAGACTGGAAGAGAAGACCCAGGGGGTACATAAACCCATCAGCACATGCTAGCAACCTTGACACACATAGTAGAGATTGATGCAAGATTTATTAGAAAATAGAAGAGCTGCTGGTTGAAAGGGGTCCTTAAGAATTAGCCCATTTGAAACCAGAGGTTTATTATAAACCCATAAGTATCACTATAAGCTTATGGCAAGAGTACCTCTGCAGCTCCATGGAAGATATCTTTATTTATACTATAAAATATACAGAAGAATTGATCTTGGGCGTGTGATTAAATATATGTTCAGAATTAAAGGAGTTAATGGGAACAAGTTCCAAAATCTATGCATTAAGCCACAATTTGACCCACAGCTAAATAAAAGAAGCCCTTTCTTCACAGATTCCCTGCTCACATTTTACTTAATATCATGAAACAGAAAATAAAAATGCCTAAGCATAAAAGCATTCATTGCTTCATATGGCCTCTAGAATTTGGCATAAGTGGTCCCTTTATGAGTTTTGTCTAAAAATGGCATATCCTTTATATGTGCACGTGAGACATGTGTGGCTAAGGTTATAGCTATCACATGTATTTTCCTTCACTTTGCAAATGTTGTATGTAGTTGTGTGTATTTGAAGTTTTTATAAGACTATTGTGTGAGATTTTCACAAATGCTAAACTGGTAATTAGACTTTCAAACTAGAGAATTCATTCCATTTTTATTGTTCTTCTAGAGATGAGAAAACTAGAAAATTGTTAGTTCAGGGAGGATTTGACTAGTTGCTTGTTGATATTTATTTGATTATGTATGGCTTCCGTGAAGGCCAATGGTCTGAGTGGTGTGATCTTGGTGTTTTCTGAGTGTGGATGTGTTCCTACAAATCTTTCACTATCAAACTAGATAATATCACCTTAGTTATGAAAAGTCTGTAGGAAAATGACCAAGGTCAGAGAATATAGGAACCAACAGTTGAACTCTGAGCTGCTAGTGGAATATAAATATCATCATGCAGGTACAGATTTTCCTGTTCATCTGCTATTTACTAGGAACTAGATATTGTTTAGGATAGAGCTACATTTTGCAAAGCAATCAGGGGGTGCCAAACCACATGCCTTATAATGCTAATAAAGGAAACCAAAAGGCAATTGTAGAGATTCTTGGTTAGAAATAATTCTGGCAATGTCAGAAACAAACAGCCTGAGATCAGACTGGTCTGTTACAGGAACAAGAAGCAAGCTTTAATCATTCCTTCCACTCAAAACTCTAAGGGTCTATGCCAAGGAGAGAAGAAGAAGCAAAAATTGGCCCTTGGTTTTACTATAAATAGGGCTTGCATTTTATGCTTGACAATCACTGTGATTCTTTATTAACAGTTCTCCTAATTTTCACAATAAAAGTTTTCTTAACACAGACCTGCTTCTTTGAATCACTGCCTGTGCAGTTTTTATTTCTGGTTTCATCTAAGAGAATCCTGACATCCTTCACCTCTGAACTATTCCTAGCAGTAAGCAGAAGGAAGTGATTATTTTTTTAAAAAAAAATAGCAGATACTGAAATGTTGGAAATAGTAAATGTTTTGGGCAGCAGAATTATTTAGGCCATGCAGTTTAATGTTATTCCTTAAGATAGCCTGCTGTCCTTATGAGAGTTCTGCCCTTTCCCAAGAATCAGAGAAAAATTCTACTTTATTTTGGATGCTGGAATTATCAGCTTGCATGGAAAAGGTGGATTCTTGTCAATTTTGGCCAGCAAAATGTTTTTTGTTAGCTCTGCTTCCTTTTCTCCTTAAACTGACCTAAATGTAGTATATAAAATTATCTGCTACATGTCCTACCTGTCAATGACTACTTCAGCTTCAACCACAACAACACACAAGCACACAATAGATACAAACTTAAGGTAAACCACTCCAAACTTGATTGCAGAAAATACGACTTCAGCAACAGAGTTGTCATGCCTGGAATGCACTACCTGACTCTGTGGTTTCTTCCCCAAACTCCCAAAATGTTAACCTTAGACTGTCTACTGTTGACCTCATTCCATTCCTAAGAGGTCTGTAAGGGACGTGCATAAGTGCACCAACCTGCCTACCATCCCTGTCTTAATGTCCCCTTTTATTCATGTAATCATAATCATGTTTTAATTATATCTAATTATATCTGTTATCTAATACATGCTTGACAAATAAATAAAATAAATACAAACTATTTTTAACTCAATCTTTGTGGCTACTGGAAGAAAGTAAACGTATCAGAATGAATGCCCTATTTTAAAAGCATACTATTAAAAGAGTGACTAATCGAACAGAAAGCAAATCTTTCTAAAAACTATCTTTACCATCTGAATAGTAAGCAAGTCCACTTTACACTAACCAGTCAAATTCTTGGACTCCAATGTAATATAAATTAGGAAAAACAGGCCAGTGGTTTCCTCCTTTTAACTTGCTTGAATCACTCTCAATCTGACTTTAATCAGTCCTAATGACCATTTATTTCAACCACAGCAACAGACTGTGTTTTTAAAATAGCTACAAGTTGGAAATCTGCCCAGTTTTTTTTCAGGTTGTAGCCTAAAGTGTATCAAACTTCTAATATATTTTCTTTTCTTTCGTTTGTTGGATTGACAAAATTAAATGCTTCTGTCAGATTCCCAAAAAAGAAAGAAACATGAAAACTATTTATACTTATTTGTAGAATAACATAGTATCCATATTAATTTCCTTTATATGTAACAGAATAACAACTGGCCACATTTTTAAAAAGTCACAACTTTATATGCATGAACTTAACCACTAATCTATTTACAATAGAATCAGTGGCCAATTTTACAATTATTTATTTTGCTTAATTTATACCATATGCTATTTTACATTATTTTACTTGTCCTTTCATGTCCAAATCTTGAAAAATCAGTTGGTTTAGGATTAAGGGAGATTAACTATTTTTTATAATTCAAAAACTTATTAAGATAAAATACATTATATTTATAGATTATATAAGGGAAAATCTTATAAAAGTACCTATAGCACATAATGAAAAGGGAATATAAAAATGCATATATTTGGAATAAATCATATGGGTTTTTCACGCACACTCTAATTGATGTAGGACAGAATGAACATAAGAAATAAAAAATAATAAATCTGTCCTACTTCTAAACAAGCATTACATTTTCAGCCAAAAATATAGTGAGTAGGGTGACCTGGTTTGGTGTTTTTTAAACTACTTCAGAACTTGGAGCACTAAACAAATAATTGGTTTATGCAGAATTTATCAATGGGAAAAATGGTTTCAAAGATCCCAAAAAACTTTTCCTGGATTTTAAGAACATGTCAGGAGCATATTGTTGTGATTTGGAAATCAGTAGTTTTCCACAAAATGCAATTTTAGGACCACTGATCTAGATGAAACATTGATTGGCATGGGTTTTATGGGGAACTATTTTTAATAATTTTTCAAAGAATAATTAGATTGAAAATCTAAGCTTGGTTGATTGATTTGATTTGATTTTTGTCTTATTAGTTTATACATAACTCAAGGAAGTGAGCATGCATAATCCTTTATTTACAAGCTCTATTTACAGCTGATAATTTATCCTAGTTCCTTGCAGTCAGTACCACTAACCCACTGAAGTATTTTGAATGCAGCATCATTTCAAAGCTCAGAGTCTCCAGAAAACCAACTTTAATAATGCAGTGAGTTACGATTAGAAACAAACATAACTATTAAACAAACTATTAAACAAACATAACTATTAAACCTCCCCTTCTGTACTGCAAACACACATATGCTTTGTTTCTGTATCACTACAGTGGAATATAATTTATGGCACTATAAAAAGTTTTACAGTTAAAGCACAGTGAAAGCTCAAGAATCCAGTCCTTCTGTAACATAGCCAAGGTTTATCTTGTTAACATTTATTTATGGGATGACTCAGATTGACAAGAGTTTTCATGGAGTTGCATTTCTATTGACTATGGTGCCACAGATGAAGTTCTACTTTAAAGAGGTTTCCTGTTCCCCCTTCCCACTTTCAGTTTAAAAATGGTTTTCAGATTCTTCGATCATATTTTATTGTTTGAGAAATAAAATTCTAGAAATTTCCTCCATTTCAAAAACTGTTACTTTACCTGATTTGTGTGGCCATGTAGAGTTCTTACGATACATGCCACTCTTGTACATATACAAAACTCTTTCGAGGTGAATGGCTGTTTCATCTATTCCCCACCGAAGTTCTCCTATAAAAAGAAAATGGGGGAAAAATGACTTAGAGAAGAAAATTAACTCTGTCCATATGGAAACTACAGGAAATGTAGAAAGGCACAAACCTATCATTTTAACTGATTGGAGTGGGAAGAAGGTGTGGGGACATCAGTGGAGGTTTAATTTCTCATGTTTGCATTTCCACCTTGAAATTCAACCAGAAAGAAATCAAACAAAAACAGAGCCCCCTGTAACTACATAGCCCAAAAGGCATTAAGAGTTGTTAACCTGTGTAGTTTTTTCTCTGGTAATATCACACTACTAACTAGAGCATACAAAACATTTGCTAGACCAATACTTGAATACAGCTCATCAGTCTGGAACCCGCATTACGTATCTGATATTAACACAGTTGAGAAAGTCCAGAAATATTTCACAAGAAGAGTTCTCCACTTCTCTACTTGTTGCACAATACCTTATGCCACCAGTCTTGAAATTCTAGACCTAGAAAACCTTGAACTACGCCGCCTTTGGTCTGATCTAAGTATAGTATATAAAATCATACATTGCAATGACTTACCTGTCAATGAATACTTCAGCTTCAACCATAACAACACAAGAGCACACAATAGATACAAACTCAAGGTTAACCGCACCAAACTTGATTGCAGGAAATACGACTTCAGCAACAGAGTGGTCAATGTCTGGAATACTCTACCTGACTCTTTGTTTTCTTCCCCAAACCCCAAAAACTTTAGCCTTAGACTGTCTACTATTGACCTCACCCCTTCCCTAAGAGGTCTGTAGGGGGCGTGCATAAGTGCACCAACGTTCCTACCATCCCTGTCCTATTGTTTCTTTTTATTTTTCTTATATGTATCCATTTCATGTATTCATAACTATGTTTATACTTATACCTATTACCTTGTAAGTGATTGACAAATCAAATAAATAAATTAAATAAATAAAACAAAAGGTATCATTTTCATATGGTGTGGTATAAAATGTGAAAGAACAAAAAGGGAATAGAACCATTAGGAGGTTGAAAAATGCCATTCAGAATGGCTAAAATAGCTGTGTGGGAAGAATGGAAATCTTCATCCAAATAAAGTAATTGGAGGTCTTCCAAATAAATTCAGTACTGAACAGGTAGTCTTCAACTTACAACAGATCATTCAGTGACCACTGAAAGTTTCATTGGTACTGAAAAAAGTGACTGATGAAGGTTTTTCATGTGATATTTGCAGTATCCCCATGATTATGTGATCAAAATTCAGGTGCTTGGCAATGGTTCTTACTTAAGACCGTTGCTATGTCCCAAGGACAGGTGATCATTTTTTGCAACCTTCTAACAAGTAAAGTCAATGGGGAAGAGATTCACTGAACAACTGCAGCAAGAAAGGTCATAAAATGCAGCAAAACTTACTTAACAACAGAAATGTTGGGCTCAATTGTGGTTGTAAGTTGAGGACTACCTGTAGTTTAGAATTCAAGAAAAGAAGTATTTCATCATACAGTGCAATCCAGAGGCAGGTGATGAGTGCAGAATCATGCAGATTTTTTTAGGCCTGATACAGAAATATTCCTTGTATGTTCTTACCGGTAGCATTGACTATCGCATCGAGCAATGGCTTCAAGGATGAAGGGGCACTGTGAGGCAGGAGATATGTAAAGAAAAACCTACAAAACAATGAAACATGTTAGATTTGTAATAGTTTGGTAATTGCTGTTGAGGAACACCAATGAATAATAAAATTCCAGTAATGTGCACATTCAACTTGAAGAAAATCTATCCATAAGATCACTAGGGGTGGACAGCAATTTAGTGGCACACCATCAATCAATAATCACATCTCTGCGCTTTGCAAAAAGTAAAAACATATTCTGTACAGGTTGGTGACATTCAAGAGCAATTAGGACTGAAATTTCCATTGGGAAGGAATGCAGTTGTAAAGTGTGACCTAATGAATCCTGGCAGTCCCAATTGTCTTCATTAAGCATATCTCATGATTTGGTACGGTAACTTCCTCCAAAAATATAACTAAAATAAATGGAGAAGTGGGCAAGAACTTGCAAGTTCTAGGCATCTTTCTTTACTATTAATTTATTAATTTTTCTATTTTTCTTCAACTTTTTTTTGCACGTTGGACTTTTTTTTTAAAGAAGCCTAATGGAACAGTATCCCTAACTGCTTGCCAATCTCTAAAATAAAATCTCCAGTGAAAAAGGCCTCGCCATCCTTCTAAGTAATGCTTCCTCAAAGTTAAATATCAATATTCAACTGGAACTTATCACATTGTAACTTAAACCTAGTAGTTCTGAATCCAGCCTTCTAGAGTAACAGAAAATGGTTTAATCAAGGAAAAAAATCATAGTAACAATAATTGCATGTTTTAATTGTTAACGTTTTGTTTAGGAAGATAGCAAGCTCTTGTACAAATTGTTTTCTTTCCCCTGTATCTTTTTTCCTTCATCCCTATGATTTTGTTTAGCACTTTAAGAATTATTTTTATTATATTATTTTAATTAAAAGGGAAAAAAACATTTCCAGAGACAAGTCAAGTGTCTCCTTTCAAAAGCTTTTAAACACTTTTCACTTTTCAATATGAAAAGAAATAAAAAATGATACAGGTAAGTCAACTTATGACTTACAACAATAAGCCCAGCCCAGAATTATGATCATAAATCATGCCAATCATGATAATCAAGTAGATTATCACATGACCAACCCAATTGTACAATATTTTTCTAGCAGTCATTAAGCAAACCCATTGTCTACAATAGCGCTTTTTCTGGAAATTTGAAATAAACACTGATTTCCATTTAAAAAAAAAAAACATTGTAAATCATGTAATGCTGCAAATAACCATTGAAGTGGCCAACTGACGAGTGCCAAAAATGTGTTCACCTGACAACACCCAGCTGTCAGAATTTTGAATTTGGGGTTGAAGAATCTTTTTGGGTATCCATTGAAACTTTGGCCATAAATGGAAGGATATATGTATTTCACTGTTCTTTCAGCTTATAGACATGTGCATCTCCAGTACCAAGCTCGGTTCACAGATTAACTAGCACCTTGTCTGTTACTAGTCTTAAAATGCTAGCCTTGCCACACAAACAAGAGATGTATTCATCTAGTCTGCCCTCTCCACAGTGTAAGATCAACTTTGTGGGATCTAGATAACACAAATCCTTCACAGATGGCTGCCCAGCCTATTTTAGTCTCTGGAATATGACTGCTCATCAACTTCCAGGACAATAACTTGTAACATAAGGCTACTCCTCCTAAATATCTATTTTCCACTTTCAATATATAAACAATAATTTGATTTGTTAAATTATTGGTTTCTCTTTAGATCCGTACCTATATGCATTGTAAAGATTTCTCTTCTCATTCATGCTTTGGCATTTGCCATCAACAGAACAAGGAAGAGTGAAATTTCTCGCTGGAAATTCCATGAAACAATCTCTGTTGCTAGTGCAGACGGTTTCCTCATTGCTTGCATCATCCAGATCTGTCACTTTGAGCTCTCCATCCACAATCACAAATTGTCGAGGTCGGAAATCCAATAGAGTTACAGAGCCAAGAGGAGAATGGGCCAGGTAATGCAGAAGCTGAACTAAGCTGAAGCAAATCTGAAATCAGAAAAGTCAAGTTGTCACACGTGGCTTTCGTAATAGAACAATCCTAATAATATCTGTTTATTGTTAGAGACTGTGGAAAATAACAATAACCCTTCAGCTTTCTTCATTATTAGAAACAGATTCAACAACTATGAGTGCCAAGTATGCACATGGAAAGTTTGCTCAATATTTTTTCTTGGTCCTTGGCATACAAATTTGGCTCTCTCCGATGTCCTGGGTGGAAAATGAAGCTAATATCACACATGCCACAAATTTCTTATAAACTGATTTCACCAGTGGTGGGATTCAAAAAAATTTTTTACTACTGATTCTGTGGGTGTGGTGTGGCTTGGTGGGCGTGGTGTGGCATGGCTTGGTGGGCATGACAGGGGAAGGATACTACAAAATCTCCATTCCCACCCCACTCCTGGGGGAAGGATACTGTAAAATCCCCATTCCCTCCCCACCCACTAACCTGCTTTCCAGCTCCGTTCTCCTGTGCAGGGCAACCAAAGAAGACCCAGCCGATCAGCTGGGACTCGGGAGGCAGAGAATAGATGTGGGTTGGGCCAGTCAGAGGTGGTATTTGCCGGTTCTCCAAACTACTCAAAATTTCCACTACCGGTTCTCCAGAACTGTTTAGAACCTGCTGAATACCATCTCTGGATTTCATGCAATGTGCCAGCAAGATCTTGCAAGATACATTTCAAAGTCCACCTCCAGATTGCCTCTGGATGGCTCTGGTACATGGTGCAGCCACACAATTCCATCACAAAAGAGTTTATTTGGGAAATAATATGGCACAGAAATGCCATGGAATGAACTGGTTCTGCTGCAATATTAAAGTTCTAGAAAAGCCACACTTTAAAAGGTTCCCCATTTTACTGATAGTCCTTGACTTATGACTACAACTAAGCTCAAAATTTCTTTTGCTAAATGAGAGAGTTGTTAAGTAAGTTTTGCCCCGTTTTACAGCCATACTTGCCACATTTGTTAAGTGAATCACGGCAGTTGTTAAGTTAGTAACACGGTTGTTGAATCTGGCTTCCCCATTGACTTTGCTTGTCAGAAGGTCACAAAAGGGGATGACATGACACCAGGACTCTGCAACTGTCATAAATATAAGCCAGTTGTCAAATGTCTGAATTTCGATCATGTGGTTCTGGGGATGTTGCAACCATCATAAGCATGAAAATGGTCATAAGTCACTTTTTAAAGTGCCATTGTAACTTTGAACAGTCACTAAATGAACTCTTGTAAGTTGAGGTCTACCTATATATTCAATGAGGCCCAATGCCAGCATATGGCACTTGAAGAAGCTTTTGAAGTCTTGGTCAGTAATGAATGATGATATCATCATGCAAATGCCATAGTTATGCAGATATGTAACTTGTAAATTATTTGCAAGACATTATCACGCATCATCATTTTCCTCTTTCTCCCACTGCAAATGCTCATGGTGTCAGTACCCTGGCATAGTCTACAAGCTCTGTCACCTCCCACTTACCTCCCACTGACTTGGAATTAGCACAGTACAGGTACCTTGGTACTCAACTGCTTGGGAACTCATCAAATTTGGTACTCAACACATTTTGAGGTGAAAATTTTATCCCAGTAGTCATCGTTAGTTTGCTACTCAACACAAAAGCTAGAACTTGTTGGTATTGGCTGCCTTGTGATTCACTTCATTATTCCTTATGGGAAAAACCTGTTTTTGGTTTTTGGTACTCATCATGCCTCCCAGAACCAATTAAAGATGAGTATCAAGATACTATTATAATGATATTTCCTCCAGGGATCCCCTCTTCATTTTTGCTTTTGTATCAGTCTGTCCTAATAGTTTTTAGGGGAATCAACTCCAGAATTCCAACCAAAACGGTATTTTATGCTGATAGCTCCAATCCTATTACAGCTGAAAAGTGCCAGGTAGCAGAATGATTCTCTTTACATAATGAAACAAACAAAATACTTATACTCATTTTGTGCATATTAAAACTGTACCATTAGAACTTTGTAATTGTACTTACGTGAAACCTGTCCTCCCATGAAGTCTGCAAAAGTTGTATCATCTCCAGTGGTGAACCTAGTTCTGTGATGGCAGTCAAGGTGTCTGAGATGTCATTGTTATCTTGGTAACAATATCCATGAAGCTGCAAAGGAAAACATAGAAAATGTGACTTATAAACCCACTTATTGGATGGAGTTTTCCCTCATCCCATCATCTTCTACCTCCCACAGTGATACAGTTGAAAACCTGGACAAAAACCTTACTGTGTAGAGAAAATTGGCATATTTAGAATAGGAGAGAGGTTAGCCTATAAAATAAAATGCTTCTATGCAGGAGAACATTCACCAAGATAGGTAAGCAGGTAATAAAAAGTAAAGGTTCCCTCGAGTTGAATTCAACTCCTGCTAACTATATGGTCATGCCCCTGGATTTTTCTTGGCAGAGGCACAGAAGTGGTTTACCTCTGCTTTTTTGCAGGTTCCCCCACACGCAGAGAGAGAGAGAGAGAGAGAGAGATACATACAGTTTTACAGACAAGCCTACAATTCTGCTATTTCTAATTTCATCATTTCTGATGCAGCTCCTTTTCTCTCTGTTTAGAAAAATCTGTAAAAACACCTCTATTTTGCCAGGCTTTCCATTATAATGAATTGATTTTAGTATCAATTTAAAGTAAGCTTTAAGTTTTTATAGTCTATCTTTTTGCTTTGTTAGCTGCCCTGAGATTCAACTGAAATTTTGCAAAACATAGAACTACCAGAGCCATAGTATTCCTGCATAGGAGTCTCCTTAGATTGGAAATTATCAGTGAAGGAATACAGCAACTACATTTGCAAAAATTATCGGCTAATACAGGAACCTTGCTCAAATTATGGGAATATACTGTACTTTATTGTGCTTTCATCACTACTGCTCTGCACATTTTTAAGGTATCAAATGCTAATTTTGTAAAAGGCATACCATTTAGTTTATCCAAAGAAAACTTCCCTAATCCAAAATTGGACTATTTTGAGATTTTTAATACAACAAGAGCCAAGACATCGAAGACTTCTCTTGCCCATTCTCACTCCAGATGGGTTTTCCATTATGTCCTTGTTAATATCAACAGTTCTGAACCGTTGCACAAGATCTGAGCAGGAGAAACTGGGAAAGAATATATGGCTGTCTTATTTCCTATGGCTGAGGAGATATAAATGTTGATAAAATGTTCACCAGCTTCAGTGTTAGAACTCAGTAGTGTCAATAATCTATTATATTATAAAAAATATATGTGTTTCAAAAAAAACATACTTTAAGAAAAATGTATTTCAGGAATTCCTATGAAATAATGTTCTGATTTAAATGCCTTTTTTGTAGCTTAATAATTACAATTTTTAACAATTAGATATTGGACACACGGAATGTAATTAAACAAACTAAAAGTCTGCAATACTGGTAGTCCTTGATTTGTTTAGCAACTGTTTGAAATTACAATGGCACTGAAAAAAAACTGACTAACAACCAGTCCTTATACTTAGAACTGTCACAGCCTACCCACAATCACGTGATGAAATTTAGGGTGCTTAGCAATTGGCATGTATTTACAATAGTTGCCATATCCCAGGGTCATGTGATCAACATTTACAACCTTCCCAGCTGGCTTCTGACAAGCAAAATCAATGGAAGAAGTCAGATTTGCTTACTGGCCATATAGTTCATTAACAGCTGCAGCAATTCGCTCAAAAACCATGGTGAAAAAGATTGCAAAATCAGGTGCAACTCACTTAACAACTGCCTTGTCTATCAATGGAAATTCTGATACCAATTGTGGTCATACATCAAGGACTACCTGTAGATCAGGAGTGTCAAAGTCAAGGCCAGTGGGCCACATTCGGTCCATGGGGTGCTTAGATCTGGCTCGCCGGGCTGCTCTGGAACAGCAAAGGACCAACCCGCGTTATCTCTGCCAGTGAAAACAGTCTAGGAAGGACCACATGTGGCCCTCCCAAGCTCCATTTTTGCTGGCAGAGGGCTGCAGGAGGCAGTCACAGCCAAAAATGGAGCCTGGGAGGGCTGTGCACACAGCCCTCACAATCTGTGTTTTCTCTGGCAGATGGCTACAGGAGGCCGGGAGGGCCAGCAAAGTGCCAGCAAAACAAACTACTAACAAAAGTGGCATTTGATCACACAATTGACATTGAGCTGGCCATGCCCACTCTGGCCACACCCACCTCAGCCCCCCAAGATCAAACACAATCCTGATGCAGCCCTCAGTGAAATCAAGTTTGACACCCTTGCTATAGATAATTTGGCACGAAACATGTATTTTTAGAAGTTCTATATAGTTTGATTTCTGAAACAGAGAACTGAGAAATATCATGTGATTATTCAGCTGAAGAGCAGAAATAAGATAGAAACTGATGGGGATGTCAAGTAATTGGAAAATATAAGAAGTGCAAATTCTATTGAGGATTGTGTTGTCATCTGTCTGTAATTATTACTATTGCAGGAAAAGCCAAGACAAAGAACAAATGAGTATAAGACTGCAAGAATTTCCAAGCTGTTACAACTGCAAATACTATGATTTTAATAGGAATCTGAAAGATGTGCAATAGAAGTTTGACAAAATCCAACATCAGAATTATTCCTTAAGATGCAGAACTTTGACAGAGCCATGCACATCATTTAGACATTTAGAAGGAACCAGAACTCAGAGTCACATTCCAAAAAGTGGCCCTGCCAGCAGAATCCACATTTGAATTTAACTGAGATTACATTGATTAAATGCTATTAATATGATTGGTCTCCATGGATTGAATTGTGTTCCTCCTTTGTAACATCAAAAATATATAATTCAGCTACCAGTTTTAACAAATGAGAAACTGTCCTACTGCAATATTCCTAAAGCTTAAAAAACTTTGAATGTCTTTGGGTTTCAGTTGCTACTTATCATTAGGGAGATGTTCCACTTTGTAAAGAAAATGCAGCAGCATGATTAAATTCTTAAATCATATCACATTGGGTTTCATGTCACCCTGAAGCCTATCTAGAAACTACTGAGGCAATGATGCTATGTCCAACTTTAATTGCTTTAGGAAAAATCATCTACATTTAAGAGTGTTGAAATTCACACATTGGACACAAACTAATTTTAACAAAGATCAGATATCAAATTATTGACTTGTTAACTGAGACTTCTCAGAAAACAACTGAATGAAAAACTGATGGTGACCTTCTACTGCTGCACCGTAGAAAGAATTTTAACATACTGCACCTCTGTATAGTTTGCCAATTGCACAGTGGCGGGTAGGAAAGCACTCCAGAGGGTTAATGTCATTGCCCAGAAATCATGGGTTGCCCTCTTCCCTCTTTGGAAGAGATTTATAGCTCCCGCTGCCTTAAGAAAGTTCAAAACATTCTCAAAGATCCATCTCTCATCCTGGGAAACCCCCCCCCCTTTTTTTTTTGAACTATTACCATCTGGCAGACGGTACAGAATAATAAAAACAAGGACAAATAGGCTGAAAAACAGCTTCTATCCCAGAGCAGTAGCTCTTTTGAATTCTGCTGTATAGTGCAGTGTTGGTGTGGTGTCGGGGGTTTCCAGTACAATGTGTGGAGTGTGAAGGATGTATGTTTGTGTTTATTTTCATGGTCATGATGGGCACTGAAGATGGTGTTTGATTTCATTGTATGAGGTGCAATGACAATAAAGTAAACTGAACTAAACTAAATTAAGGAAGAAACATAAAGTTGAGAAAGTAAGGGAAATTATTTCAGCAATGTAATTTGAGAAGTTATTATGTACAACTCCAAGTATATTGATCACCTCACTATTAGGTTGTGTATAATCTAGCATAGAAGCTATTTGAGCAGACAAAGAGGAAAGGAGGAGCTCACCATCTGAAAATGCATGATAAATGCATGATCTCTATTATGTGCATCCTGTGAAATGAAAGTAGGGTCCAGAAAAGCAGAGCTTAGATGATGTGTGTGCAATAACATTATTTATCACACATTGCAATTTTCACTGGTTAAAGTTTCCTCCAAAGAATTCCTTGTAATGGTTAGTGCAGAATTCAGAGTTAGATCTTCTTAGCTCTCCTCACCGAACTATACCTTCCCTTTGTTCTCAAGTGAAATTTGGACTAACTACTAAATCAATTTAAGTCTGCTTTTTAGATAGACATGTTCTCTACACCTTAAGACCTTTCCTCACATAAAACCGCCTTCCATTGTAAATGTCAGTAGCTTGGTGGACGTCAGTAGCTTGGAAACAGTACCGAAATTAGTAGCAATTGATTCCATAACAGGCCTTTCCGGGGAGTTTTCCTAAGGAAAATAGATGAGGTTGCAAATCATCAGCTCCTATTAAAGAAGCAGCAACTGAGAACAGAGCCTTTAGGAGTGATTTATATGATACATATGTCGGAATAGACAAATTAGCCTGGATTATTTCTCATGAAGGATAGTTTTCAAAGTGAGCAAGGATGGTGGAGGGGCTTTTTTTAGCCAACATCGTGTACCTTTTATCTTAGGTAAAAGGATTCCCTTCCTTGTCACACCTTACACTAATCAACCCCCCCAACACACACACACACACACACACACACACCATAGTTTCTAGCATCTAGAGAGCTACAGCAACTTCAGAGAAGAGACATACAACTCATCTAATAATGACAATAATGATTTAATAATGACAAACGGGCGTGTGAGGCAGCGGTCCCCATGGCCAGCCCCACAACAGGAAGATGGGGGGGCAGCCTCAGTTGAAGCAAAAGCAACACAGGTTTCCAAAAAATTTTTAAAAAAATTAAAACAAGGATAGTTAAGGTTCGTTTACAGTTGTATCAGCTCTGGCTTCTAGCAGCAGCAGAATTCCTGCTAACAGATCTTTTCTTCACTCTTAAAAGCTCGGGATAACATCTGGGCCTTTGGGAAACGTCCTTGTAATAAAGAAGCACTTTATGTAATTTATCTTTCTTCACCAAGCTGCATCTGTCTGCTCTTTTGGCTGGCTCCTGTCTCCCACCCCCACCTCAAATCCCATGGGTTGCACAAGAAAAGGAACATATGGCCACCTCCAATGAATCACCAGAAGGTGGCACTGCTTGGACCTCTCTAACTTCCACCAAACACCACTTTGGATCTATGCATCTC